TGCTCTCTCTCAAATAAACAAATAAAATCTTTAAGACATATATATTCAAGGAAATAATGGAAGACAGTATCAAAATGAACTGTGAAAAGAGAAATCACCAAAAAGAAGCAAGAGGATATAAAATAAGAAATTAATAAATCTAAGTAAAAATGTGCATACATCTTAAGGGGTATCAGCCCATGAAATGAAGGGATCAAAATCTGGACAACAGAAGAAAGAAAGAAAAAACAGTGAGCAAAATGTCTCAAAAATAATGAAAACAAATTTCCCAGAAATAAAATGTAAAAGACTTCAGGCCCAAATTGGAAACACCCATGAAGAAGAGAAACAGGTCCAGGAGGAGACTATAAACAACTAGGAGAAGTAATTCCTAGCTTACACAAGTTGTTCCAGAAAACTGAAAAGGAGTGAATGTTATCCAGTCCTATTTTATCCAGTAATCTCAACTCTAAAAACCAGATAAGTGTAAGAAAATACAATTATAGTTCCATATCATTTATAAACATAGACATAAAAACCATAACTAAACAAATCCAAGAGAGTATTAAAAAATAGCCCCAAATAATCACATAGGTTTTATCTCAGTGATGCAAGGGGGTTCTCTGAAAAGAAAATCTAGCAATGTCATATATCACAAAAATAAACTCGAGGAGGAAAAAAGTGATATAATTTTATTAATGCAGAAAAAAACATTTGTAAAGTTCAAAATCTTTTTATGGCAAAGACTTCTAGCTAACTAAAAATTAAAGGGAACTTATTTAAGTTAGTAAAGTTTATAAATCCATCTCTCTCAGAGTGATACTCTAAAAAGGTTTACAAATGAAATCATATGATGTCTGGGATTTGTTTCAAAATAAACTGTTGTCTGGAAAGAGGAGGGAGATGGTGCAGAGGAAACAAAATTACCAATATGTTGCAATCATTGTAACAGGATGATAGATACAGTTTGGCTAGTTATAGTCTCACTACTTGGGCAGGAATTGTAAAGATTAAAAACCAAAAACCCACAACAAGCATTATACTTAATAGAGAAACATGAGATGCATTCCTTTCAAGATGAAGAACAATTTGAGAATATTTACCTTTCATTTCTACCTTTAAAACTAGTACAGGAGATTCTGACCAAAATTAGTAAAGGAAGGAAGGAAGGAAAGAAGGAAGAAAGGAAGGAATGAAGGGAGGAAGGAAAAGATAAGAAAGAAAGAAAAAAGAAAGAAAGGAAGGGAGGGAGGGAAGGTGGGAGGGAGGGAGGGAGGAAGAAAGAGAAAGATAAGAAAGAAAAGAAAAGAAAGAAAGAACAACACAGGAACAGGGAGGGAGGGAAGGAGGGAGGGTGGAAGGGAGGGAGGGAGGGAGGAAGGAAGGAAGGAAGGAAGGAAGGAAAGAATTAAAAAGAAGGAGATTAACATGACCTTATTTGCAGATAAAACAATCACCTGCCTTGAAAACCCAAACTCAGTGGATTTAAAGGTAAAATTATTGGAACAAATTTACCAAATACAAATTTAACTTCAAATATAGTATTTCTCTATCCTAATAAGAACGGAATAGACAATATAATTACAAAAAGTATATCAGTTAATATTCTAAGGAATCTAGAAATAAACATAAGTGAGAACATATGAGATCTTTGTGGAGAAAGCATTTTAAACTCTAATAAAGGAAAAAATGATTTGAATAAATAAATAGACTTAATATTATGAACATTCAATTCTTCAAAAATTAAACTACAAATTCAATGTAATTATATATTGAAATTACTGAAGGATTTTAAAATATATACTTGATATCCTAAAATATGTATGAGGAAATAAATATCTACAACACAGCTAATTAAATTTTGAAAAGGTAGAAAGAAGGAACCTCCCTGCCAGGTACTAAGATATATGTACACTGCCAAAATAAGAAAAACAAGTGGGCCAACTGGAACAAAACAGAGAGCTCAGAAGCAGCCTCATATACAAATGGGAACTTATACAATAAAGGTGATATTAGATTCATAGGAAATGATGAGTTTTTAGCCATGAGAATTGATTATATAGAAAAAGAAATCTGGATCAAGTTGAATAAAATACTTCATCTAGTTGAATAAAATATTTTTATGTCCAGAAAAAAAAAATTATAAAGGTAATAGAAGAAAGTGGAGAAGCCTATCCCAGGGCTTAGAGATAAGAAACAATTTCGAGAACTAAATCTCCAAAGCAGGCATTATAAGGAAACATTAATTTCAATAGTCAATTGAAGATTCCTGACCAACAAAGGACACTATGGACAAAGTTAACAGATAGATGACAAATATGCAAGAGTAAAATGTCACTTGTCACCTGTTGCAAACTGGAAAGGTCAAGTGTTGGGCAGGTTGTGGGGATATGGAGAAACTGATCATGGCACAGGAACTGATAAAGGCCTTCTGGAGGGTGAGCTGGGATTATTTAATTCTATCAAATGAACCCATGTCTTATGACCTAGCGAGTACCATGATAGGCATATATTCTCTGGAAAAATCATATGCTGGTTCATAAAGAGTCATTTATAAGACTTTGTACATTTGAAGCACTATTTGGTTTAGCCAAGAATTGGAACAATCAAGCTGTCTATCACTGGAGGTGTGGGTAGGTAAACTGTAACAGAATATAGGCATGGAATACTGTCCAGCAGTGAAAAGTAACATAGAAGGTGTACAGGTAATGTAAATGTTTCCTTCTGGAAAATATGTAGTACTGCACTTAAAAAAGGTAAAAGAAAAAAGTCTCTAATACAATTTACATGAATTAAAAGCATATATATGCATAACAAAACAAAATTGCATATTTTACAATCATCTAAACTAAATTCTACACATCAAATCATTATAATGGTGGTCTTTTGAGGAGCAAAGGAATTGAATGGGGAAAGGGGGTAAAATGGATTGCACAGATCGATGTAGGAGTCTTGCACAGACTGCTAGTGTAATTCTATAAGAACAGGGGTTTTGGACTGTGCGGAGTAAATATTTGTTGAGTGCCTGAATGTGACATGAATGGAGGAATATGATTCGTTTTCTCTCTCTGTACCTGAGTTCCAAATATTAGGTTGCATTGTATGAAATTGCAATTTTTTTGTAGACCAAAAATGACCAAATATCAGCAGTTTCATATAATTCAACCTAATGGAAAGGGAAATTTGAAAATAATGAAAGGTACTTAGGGAAATATAAACAACCACGGTAAAAACTAGTGGGAGATAACACGAAAGACAAACCAAATTTGATTCCGCTTTTTCATAATTAACTAAAAACTACCTAGGTTGATATAGTTAAGATGACTGTCCTTAAAATAAAGTGCCCTTAAGACTAAAGTCATCAATGGTATTTCCTTAAAATGTCAGCCATTTATTATACTAAGGATTATAGCACTTGTATCTTTTCTCATGCTGATCTTTTTTTAAATCAACAATATCTAACGGGCCATTTAAAGATTTTTCATCACTGGAAGATTTTCCAGAACGTACAATGTAGTTTATATACAATGTAGATACATTCTGGAAAACATCAGGTTCAGTCACTTCTGAATCTCTTGAAACTATAAAAGGCACCTTTACATTCTTTTTCTTAAACTGCTTTATTATGATTAAAATACAAGAAGTTGTACCTATTTAATACATACAATTTGATGACTTTGGAGATAAATACACGTATGAAACCATTGCCATAATCAAGCCATAATCACAACTATTCCTTCCAAATTTTACCTCCTATGTATGTATGTATGTATGTATGTATGTATGTATGTATTATTTAGTGATATGGGCATTTAACATAAGTTCTCTTCTCTTAGAAAATCTTAGTATTATTAACTGTAGGCACTCTGCTGTCCATAAAACTCTAGAGCATACTCATCTTGCATAAGTGAAACTTTGTACCAATTGAACAATCACTTCTCACTCCCCCCCCACCCCCAGCCCCTGATAACTACCATTCTATTCTTTGCTTCTGTGAGCTTGACAATTTTGGATTCTCCTATAAGTAACATCATGTAGTGTTTGCTCTTTGAAGAAATTTTTTATTTTAGAGAAATAATTGTTCAGAGAATGGATATGAGAAAACGGGAAGAAACTGAAAGAACATACAAGTTAAGATACTTGTGTGTTCTTTTAGTTTCTTCCTATTTCCTCTTACCTGTCCTCTGAACAATTATTTCTCTAAAATTGGAAACTTCTTGGGGCGCCTAGGTGGCTCAGTCATGTAAGCGTCTGCCTTCAGATCAGGTCATGATCTCCGGGTGCTGGGATGGAGCCCCACTTCCGGCTTCCTGCTCTTCTTCCTCCCTCTCCCTCCACCCCTTCCCCTACTTGTGCTCTCTTTCTCGTTCTCTGTCATATAAATAAATAAAATCTTAAAAAAAAAAAGAATTGGAAACTTCTTAAAATTTACCCAATGTGTTGTTCCTAGACCTTATTTTCAATGGAGGTAACCTGAGTTACCTTTTACACCTAAATCTTTTGTGGTTGTTAGTAAGTTCTTCTCAGAAAACATTCTCATGCTTTATGTCAGGGCTTTCTAGCGTAGGAACACTTAAGCGCTTTGTTTTTCACCCAGCAAATATTCCATATTGATTACTGTAATGAAATAGGCATTTTGCTTCCTAAGAATGAAGAGAAAACAAAAGGGAAAAATTTTATTTTCATTTGTTGTAATGACTGTATTTTTCTTGAATGAGAGGAAGGTCAAGAAAACAGAACACAACTGAGGATTAGCTTTGAAATGGGTCAAAGAATTGAAGTAAAATGATGAATTGAGAAAACAAGCTGTGGCTTTAGTGTTCTCTCGTGAATTAAGCTGTTTTCAGTTCCTCTTTGAACCTGCACCTATTAAATGAAAACCTCAACTTGCCGCAATAAAATGAGGCAATCTTTGTTCAACGGGATTTGATAATCATAAAGGTTAGAGAAAGGCAGCTCAACTCACTTTACTTATCTTCAGTATACTTTGAGTGAAATGACAGCTTCGACAGAAATTTTACCTTGACAGTGAAGCGTTTTTTCTTTGGTGGATTCCAAACTGTGCCAGTTGAGTGAATGAATGCACGCAAAGGTGTTAAGGACGTCACCAACACATACGCTTTAAGAATCACAGATATTTCTTCAGCTCGGAAGACTGTTTCATGTGGAGCAAGGACTGTCGTTTGATTCCTAAAAAAATGAACCAGCATAGTTAATGCTCCATAACTTAGAGTACATCATCTGCAAATTACCTCGAAGCGTTGTACACTCATGTATCCTTTGTTGGGCTGTAGCCTTCAATGTGTGGGTTTCCTTAAACAATTCCACTTCTTATTAGCACCACTACCAGGGGATATATAAGTACTTAAAGAGGGGATCAAATGGATAAGAGTCCTCCACTCTGGTAGACTTAATTAAAAATTTTTAAGAGAAAGAAAGATGGGAAAATAGTACATAAAGTAAGGTTTAAAGGTTTAAAAAACATAAATAGGTCATGTATGTACCATTACAACAAAAGTGATACAAATTACAGTTTAAGGAATAGTGAAGACATTTTCCCATCCTGCCCTGGCCTGCCTTTGCTCTTTCTTCTCCTTGACTAGATAAGATATACTTTCCAAGAGTGGACAGGTCACCAAAAATATGCCAAAATCTGTTCCCTACTAGTCTGATTCTACCCAATAACTGTCACCATGGATAATTATGGGTTCATTTAAAGAATAAAGTGTGAAGATAATACTTCAGGTTACAAAGGAAAATTAACATTAATATTTTGTGGTGAAACAAGTATACTTTCATCATAAAAGATTCCAAAATATCTAGTTATTTGCTTTTTACACAGTATTTCTGTTTCAAATATCTATGTTTGACCAATGAAAAGATTGTTCTATTTCAACTTTTGAAGTCTAGGTAAGCAGGAGATGCATATGATTCTTCAATAAATACTATTAACTGTAGACATCTACCAGATAATTATAAAATTAGATGAAGTAAACTATTTTGTTTCTTGGATAAGATATGAAAAGCTTTTCATTTTTCACTATAATTTATCTACATTACAAATTCATTTCCTTGGAGGGAACTTAAATATTTTGGTACTGCAGGTGTCTTCTTAGATCCTAGGAACCATAAAATATATATCTATATCTACATCTATCTATCTATATCTATATATATACCTATATATAGATATAGATATCTGGAAAAAAATTCATTTGGCCATACTCATAGACTAGGACAATGTCATTTGAGTATAAAATGGAAGTTAAAATTTTATAGTTTCACATTGTCAAAAAAAAAAAAATATATATATATATATATATATAACTGGAAAAAATTCATTTGGCCATACTCATAGACTAGGGCAATGTCATTTGAGTATAAAATGGAAGTTAAAATTTTATAGTTTCACATTGTCAA